GAGCGGCTGAAGCTGGTGGGACTGTTGGCAAAGGGCATTGAGAATCGGGCCCCAAAACTGCGTATGAACAGAATTCTTGCGATCAGGAGCTGTAGTGCAGTTGCAGTCCTGCTCCTACTAAGGCATGCGGTGCTTTTGCAGTGAAACCAGTAGGACTGGATTAGACCATACGATTTTCTGTTTTCCCTGTTCACTAATTTTTTTTAAAGGACCACAGATCGTTTGTGAAGACAGATGTGGGACAGCCAAAATGCTGCAAGGTGTTACGGCACATGAGCCCCAAATGCATTGGGCTAATGCATTCAATTAATGTGTTCGTAAATTTTTCGTGAACTGGGCGCTGTCCAGATCAAAAGGTAAAAATTGTATTTTAACATGCATGTGATACTGCCACATTACTGAAGCATAGGGAATGACAATATGAAAAGCATTGACTTTTTTTTTTTAAACGTTTGGATTCTTTCTCAAACTTCCCTCCAAGAAAGCAGTGAAACTAGTCTGTTTCATACGGAACCATTACACTCCCCTTTTGTCGTATGTTTGACTGAATACAGTTTTTGAAGATTTAGATGAGAATAATTGCTTCTGTGGAAGAGAAGCATTTAATTTATACCTGTCTGCAAAACACTGTTTTTTGTTAAGAGTTCTTTTTTTCCCCAGTGACTTTAGGAAATAGGTGTACTCTAATTTTCATCCAAAGGATTAACGGTTAGACTGCTTCTTAGAAGCTGGGCCTGGAGCAGATAAACAGCATGCAGTGTTTTCCAGGGTTATTGTCAAGTATATGGCTCAATGCTTGAATTCACCACAGTTTGACATACCTAGTCCTTTATGATAGGAACTGTTCTGCCTGCCTGTCTGCAGAGGGGGAAGGAAGATGGTGTGCAGCTTTTGGGTGTGAATGTTTACTACTACGCCTGCTTCTCGATACTTGAGTTGTAGTGACTGCTTTTACAATGTAGGCCAGCTTCTGCTACCTCAGTCCGTCTGTTTTAGAGAGCTGTATATGGGCTGTGTTAGGGTAATTGACCTTCTGGGTACCAAGATGCTCAAGCTTTCCCTTTTCATGCTGCTGCCTGATCCTTTTCAGGCAAAAGACCACAGGACTCAATAGACATGTTGCTTAAAGTCTGCAGGATCACTCTTAGTAATTCATCAGACATTTCTGGACTAATTAGCTTTTTGCTTTAGGATTAATCTGTTACATCAGCTTTGCCTTCTTTCTTTGCCGTCGCCCCTTACCCAGGATTCATTCGCACTGCCCTTTTTCTTCTGGAAAGGATGGTCTTTCCCATGGACATTTCTCTGGATCCTCATGACACCATCAGCGGTCAACCTCCAACGTACCTGGATGTTGTCTTCCAAACCAGACCAATCTTCCCTCTCTTTTGTTACTTTCACCTCCGACAGTAGTATTTTGATTTCATTTGTTTCATCCAAGAGGACATTTTCTTGAGTGACCTAGATTTTGTTACAATTTGACTTTTCAAATTCTGGTCTGTAATGCTTTCCCCTTGAAGTTTTCTGTATAACCAAACCGTTACAGGACTGTGGACCGTGAAGGAGTTTCCAAAGTCCACAACTTCTTTCCACTCTTTATCCGTTAATTCTTTGATGGTTAGCTCCATGCTTTACCAGTCCATTTACTGAGATCCAAAACAGCATCCCCTTTTGAACCCTTAGCCCAGTCGTGCACTTCTCTCATGTGTTTCCACCGTGTGATCTGCTTCTCATGTTGTATGTCTCCAATGCATGAACTGAAGTCCTTTACGTAGAGTTTAAAGAGTCAACAAGTGAGAATTTATTTTCTTGCAAATCATGGACATAATTGACTGCATACGGAGCTTCCCAAAAGACAGGGTGCCCTGGTGCTGGCTGTAGATTTTCTTTTCTTCTCATCTCATTTTCCACAAACCACACTGTGCTGGCATTTAGTTTTGAGGAGGACCCACAGCCTTTTGCTGTTTCGAAAGCAGTGATCTTACCCAAGCCCTCATTCCCAGTTTTCTACCTCATTCCCAGTTTACTACCCCCATTTGCATTACAGAAATGTTGTTACTACTGTATTTCCCTTTTGCTGCCACTCTTCTTAACGTTGTTTTTACCCTCCTCGTTGAAGAAAAGCCCCTTCTCATCAGACTTCCTTCCAGATCCAGTTGTCATTTCCTTTTCTTGTCCTGTTTGTCAGAGACCTCTCATCAGCCGCTGTGTTTCTTCTTTCCCTTTCTCCCTCAAAGCTTCTGCTCTCCGCCAGCTTGGGTTAACCCTGGTGTTTCATTTCCCCATTTGCCTTCTTTCAGCAATATGACCTCCTTTGACATGTGGCTGCCTCTTGCCTTGCTCCCTCCATGCGTGTTATTAGCCCGGTTTTGATTCTTTAGTGTAACCAGACCTGACCTCGCTGGTTGGCTGATGGCTCTAGTCTGGAGCGCAGCAATGAATTTTTATTTCCCAATTCATCTCAGTGCAGCTTTCTCTGCTCTCAAGTACTTTTTTCTTGTTCTTTAGTGTATCGTGTGAAATCTGGCATATTTTGAACTTTTTTCCTCTAGTCTGAGTTCTTCTTCATCAGTTGCTCCATTTTAATTTCCCAGCAAAAACGTTATACCAGAAATTCCCAAGTGTTCCCCCGCCTTGGCAGAGCCAGCTGTGATGTTGGTCCTGCAATACTTTGTGTCAGCAAATGGAGAGGGAAGCAACCATTAACAGTTCTGGATGTTGTGCTGGATGTGTAGGATCGCTTTGATATTCATCTCTCTTCTCCTTTCTATTTGAATGTTACGCAAAAGGAGATGATACTTGATTCTTCTGTATAGTCCTCTTAGTCATGTTTTATCATTTGGCACTCTCTCTGTTTCTCTGTCTTTATTTTGAGCCCAGTTTCTGAAACAAGCTGCGTGGATATAAATCCACAGCCTCTCCCCAGTCCTTGCAGCGATTAATGATTCACATGAGAATGACTGAAACTGGAATGTATCCCTCTTTGCCCTTGGTCCCATCTGAACATAGAGCTGCTGAGCAAGACAGAAGCTTATTCCCTGAATAAAAAGTTTTCTCTTTCCCCTGCCCTGTTTCACAACACTTTCAGGAGCCTCCTTCTGCACTGGAAGGGACTGAAAGCGGTGTCCGCCTGCAGCCCATCCCTGGCTGCGCCAGCACCGAGGCAGTGCAAACAAGGTACTGTCATTAAGCGAGAGCTTGACTTGTTGACTGGGAATTGCCCATGCATAGGCCAGCTTTCTTCAAGCTCCCTCGCTCACCGCGCAGTAAGAGTGTATAGATTCATGCGCACTGGCATAGCCTAGTCTGTCGTGATGTCATTTGTTTTCTCATCCCACTGGTGGTGGCTCCCCATGCAAGCTAAAATCTCCTTCAGGAGTCTTCTGGATTTTAAAGGCACTAAGAGGCTATATCTGGAGCCCTTGTCCTTACGATACAGCTTGAGAAAATTGGTGCTTACTACTTTTTCAGCATGGGAGGATCCTGTTTATCTGTGAGCCCAATGGAGATTGCCCTTCTTTTGTTCTCTGGGATCGTGTGGCTTTGCAGCTCAGACCCCACCTCCATCTGTTCATTGCTTTCTACTCTTCCTTCCTCCTCTGTCTCTTTGCACAGTGCTTCACAGTTGGGAAATATTTTCTCAGGGGTTGCCCGTTTGCTTGTGCGTGCCGTGCTCCAAGCCAGGGAATCGCTCCTGGAGGAGCGGGAGAGGGCACCCATTACAGAGCTGCATGCAGAGCATGCTACGCTGCCTATGAAAAAAGAACTGTGCATTATTTCCTTGACTTCAGTGTCCCCTTCATTTCTTCTTTTTCCAGGCTGTTCAGAGTCACAGAGGGCCAGGTGCTTCCTTGCGTTACGCTGTCTTGTTGGAGGCTGTACATGCTGCTGTTTCGGTGCAGGATACCCCTTTTTATCTCAGTGCCTATAAGGGAATGGGTTTTGGGGGAGGACAGGCTGTGCAAGTCAGGCTTTCAGAAAGAGGAGCTGCGCATCTCTGAACGCAGGTGGTAATGGAGAGACTAATCTCAGTGAGGAGGTTTCAGTGTTTTATTTAAGTGGCATGTAAAACTTGGAAGCAGAAAGCTTTGCAGACTTGCAGAGACAGAAGGCCACTTGTGTAGATCCGTAGACTCAGCCCTTTGCATGGTCTCTTCTGTGCTTCAGCCGAGCCCTGTGGCAGGTGAGATGTTCCTGTGATGGATACAATGCAGCATCTCATATACCGGTGGCTTTCAAAGCCTGTGTCTGCAAAGAGGCTAAGAAAGAGGAGGAAAATTTCAGCTTTAAGTCAGTATTGTACAGTGTGCCAAACCTCTGCCCACTGTTTCTGGGACATTAATCATCTACATTTGAAAGCTGAGAAGGCTTTTTTTTTTTTTTTTTAAACTTCTGGGCCAAATCCTGGGTCCTTACTCAGACAGAAGTTCTGTGGAAGTCAATGAGAGTGTTGTCTGAGCAGAGGCTGCAAGATGAGGCCCGCAACCCTAGTAGTGATCTGGAGGGTAACCACACAGAATGCTTTGTAACGCCAAGAGGCATGTTTGGTCCTCAGAACTCCTGCTGGGCAAGTCTACTGTGCATCCTTCCCCTCTCAGCCAACGTAAGAGTTATTGGGCTCTGTCCCTGCAGAGGGTAAAAGTGTGATACGAGTTTTATTTGGGACCTCTTCTTCGCAGAGGGAAAGAAGGAAGTCTGCAGAGGCTTCATGGTGTGGATTAATCTCTTAGAAATAAAATACATGTTGCAAAGTGGTGGTGCACTTGCACAAATGCTTCTTGCGTGACAGAAGAAAGCATAACCCATGTGAATTTATTGCCGTACAAAAGGAGGCTTTTGCTTTTTCCTGGGAGAGGCAGCTCATATCA